TCTCAAGACCAGCACTTCCCTTGTATCAGTTCAAACCTATTCATCTCTAAACTAAATTATGAAGTTCAAAACTGAGGTTTCCTCCTTAGATCTAACTGGAACTATTTACTAGATTTTAGATAGATATGACAGAGTATGACAGGTGAGAAAGCAAAGTGAAGAATAGGATACTTGAAGGTGAGAAAAATGAATTTTATCTTCACTTTCTTTCCTCCTATTTATGCACACTTATTCATATACTTCAAGGTCCAGCTCAAATTTTATCTCCACTTTCGAAGCCGTTCCCTGTTCTTTCAGGCAAAGAGCATACTTTTTTTCTCTTTGTACATAACTCCACTAGAGTACTTTCTATAGCAATCAGTTTTTTTAAACACTATTCTTATTTATTTTAATCCTCACCCGAAGATATTTTTCCATTGATTTTTAGAGATAGTGGAAGAGAGTGGGAAAGACAGAGAGAAATATCGATGAGAAAAACACATCAATTGGTTACCTCCTGCATACGCCCTGACTAGGGCCTGGGCTGGGGAGGAGCCCGCAACCGAGGCACGTGCCCTTGACGGGAACTGAACCCGGGACCTTTCAGTCCTCAGGCTGACACTCTATCCACTGAGCCAAACCAGCCAGGGCTATAGCAATTATTTTTTCACATATCAGTTGCCTAACTGAACAGAGTCTAGTATTATTTTAATACTGGCCCTAGCATCTATAATAAAAGCGTAATAGGCTAATTAGACCAGACATCCTTCTGGACAAAGCAGGGGCTGCAAGGGCCGAGCCCCTTGCATGAATTTCATGCATTGGGCCTCTCGTTAAAAATATTTGTTGAAAAGAAGGAACAACAACTCTTAGTCCAGAACTGGCAATTATAAGAAGAAAACCTAAGTTTGAACAAAAAGGTGAAAGAGACCCCTCCCCCCCAAAAAAGAAGTTATCTAGTTACCAATAAACGGTAGATAAAAATACTAAACTGAAGACCCAAGGGGGAAAAAAATAAAGGCCAAACACATAAATCATTTCCACCTAGCTAAGGTTAGAAAGATAGGGGTACTAGATAATAATGAAAATATTTAATAGAGAAATAAATTATTTAGAATTTCACAGAGAAATGTGGAGGTAGAAGAGGGCTAACCCAAAATAGCCCTTAAAAATAAAACATGTCACCCTGGCTGGGTGGCTCAGTTGGTTGGAGTGTCGTCCCATACATACATCAAAAGGTTGTGGGTTCAATTACCGGTCAAAGCACATACCTAGATTGTAGTACAATTCCTTCTCAGGGCATGTATGGGAGACAACCAATTGATGTCTCTCTCTCTCACATTGATGTTTCTCTCCCCCTCTCTCTCCCTTCCTCTTGCTCTCCAAAATCAATGAAAAAACATATCCTCGGGTGAGGATTAAAAACAAAAACAAAAAATGTTCTCTCAGATAGGCATACTCAAATTAGACACAAATTAGTTGTATACATAAAATGCTCATGAAATAGATTGTTTTCATTAAGAAGAAAGCACTATAAAACATACCATCATCCCCTTCTAATCCCATCTCCCAAAGAAACTCAAATACGTAGAATTCAATCATTAGAAAACCTGGCTCAAAAGGGAACTCTCAAAAACCAGCCCAGTATGATAACAAGAGGAATGAAGTTATTAAAATTAAACTCAACACAATGGGAACTCTCCCTCCTAGGAGCACAACTGCGCCTTTCCCCTCTCCCTCCCTTTCCCCCAGGCCTGTAACCTTTGCCCCTCTCTCTCCTAAGCTCTAAGGGCCACTTCTTTCACCTCTGTAACTTGTTTCCTGAGCCCATTTTTTCTACCACTCACTTCTTCTACCTCTGTCCTAAATAAAATTTCTCTTATTAAAATAAAAACAACACAATGAAATTAAATAGATTTTAATTCTTCTTAGAAAATTCTGTTTTATAGACCTGTTGCACTATTAAAAAGAAATGAAGAACCTAAAAAGTAATTTTTATAAGCAAATACAGTTGTATGCTTGAGGGAAAACATAAAAATATTCAAGATAATGCCTACCACATGTATATTTCAATGTAAAATAAACACTTAATGTAAAATGGCTCAGTTACTTATACTTTGACCGGTTCATGACCAACAAAAGTAACACTAGAGTGGTGGCTCTGAAGTTTTTTTTGGGTCACAGACCTCTCTGAAACTCCAATGAGAGCTATGGTCCTGTCCTGAAGAAAAACATGCAGATATACATATATACCTAGCATTTTAAATATGTCATAGCAATCACAGAGCCATGGAACTCAGTTGTAGAACTGATGACTTAATGAACAGAAATAGCAAACAAATGTAAGACTCCTCAGAAAAGAAAATAAACTTAATAATAAGTAACAACTCTAGAGATTTTTTCTTGATCATCCAATCAAAAATACCGAATATAAAAATCTCTATTGGCTGGATTTTATCAAGTGATATACACCCAAATAGAGCATGCACATGCCTTAAAATAACCTTGAAACCTAAAGTGTTTAAAAATAATATCTATTATTAATATTAGTAATAGTTATTGAGCATTTATTAAATACTGTATTGTCTTAAGTTTTAAATATACTTATGTTTATACATAAATGTAAATCATTGTTATTCTCATTTCACGAATACGGAAATTAAAGTACAGAAAAGTACAAAGAATGTCAAATAACAGTGACACAAAACAGAAATGATTAATGAGATTAAGAAGCAAAAAATTCCCTGATAGTGTATACCATCTAATAGCAACTTAGACCTGTATTTGGGTTAGCACAGTTCTACAAAGCAGAACATATTGTCCAAACTCCAGAAGAAGGATGACAATCTTGATCCCTTTCCATTCCTGGCAAGATAATCCTTATACCAGTGGTGGCCAACAGGTGGTCCTCGGACCACTGGTGGTCCATGAGGTCCGAAAGGTTGGCGACCGCTGCCTTATACCATATTCACTTTGAAGTATACTGTAACCAGAAATGTGAACAAAAAAATGTTCAAAAAGAGTATAACACAAAGTAAAGGGTTTATAAGATTAACAACGGAAGATTAATTCTGAGGATAACAAAACTTAGCTTTCTAAATTACTATCTTTTGTGTACCAGCAACAAATCATGCTTTGGAAAAATTAGCAATATAATAAGATGTAAAAATTCTGAAATAGAGCACCTTATTCTACAGGGGAAGTTCAAGCTCCACTATCTCAAACTTTCTTCAAGGTTCTGCCTCCTTCTTGCCATCTTGGTTCCATGTCTCTTCCATTCCAGGATAATCACAAAGGTAGAGAAAATCTTGCAGGTTCAATAGGTCTTACTAAATCCCATCAATCACAAGACAAATTTCAGATTCCCTGGATGTGCCTATGCTATGCTCTGCACAATGTTGCATACAATAAACATCTGCTGAATGGTCAAATCTTCTCCATGAGAAAATGTCTGTGTTTTTAAAAAACATGTTTTTATTGATTTTAGAGAGAGAAAAGGGAGAGGGAGAGAGGGAGGGAGAGAAAGAGGAGGAAAAGAGGAACTGAGGGAGACAGAAAGAGAGAGAGACATCAATGTGAGAAACATCAATGAGCTGCCTCTTGCACGTACCCCAACCCAGGACCAAACCTGAACCCACAACCTGAGTACGTGCCCTAATTGAACCAGTGACCTTTTGGTGCATGGGAAGATGCTCAACCAACTAAGCCACACCAGCCAGGGCAGAAAATGCATATATTTAATATTTTATACCTCCCATAATATTACATTACAAATTACAATAGCATCAGAATAATGCAATAAAGCAATTCTTTTATGTTAAATCACATTACTGAAAAGTTTTAATTTACCATTTTTTAGATTCTATGTCCAAAGGAAAAAAAGAAAAAGACTAATTTTTAAAATTCAATTTATGCAGTTATTAGTAAACCAAGACACTACAAAAATTTTATCTGAGCATATTCCTTTTTTAAAACAATGATGTTCTTAACATACTATAATTTGTATAGCTTTCTTTGTAATGTTTAATGAAGATACGACAAAATCATGGATCTTTTCTTTTATATCACCAAAAAACTTTTTGATACAGATGAGAAATCAGTTCCACTAAATAGGTGGCTTGCTGCTTCAATAGCAATATTCTAGATTCAGTAAAGGTTAAAAACCAAGAAACTATGAAAATAAACATATATTCATATACATATGCCACAAAAAAGTTCCCTCTATATTTAACTCACAAGCTGAAACACTTGCTCCTGAGTCACTGAACTGATAAAACATCTCATACCAAACACACAAAATTGAACTATATTTTACACAGAGCTTCCTGGAAGTCAATACCAATTTTAAAAAGTTAATCTCTGCATTACACAGGCCCTCTTAGCATAGAAAGAATATGAGAGCAAAAATTCAGACTAAAATATTCCCTAATTTCAAGCAGCATTAAAAAAAAAAAAGTTATAGCCCTAACCGGTTTGGCTCAGTGGATAGAGCGTCGGCCTGCGGACTCAAGGGTCCCAGGTTCAATTCCGGTCAAGGGCGTGTACCTTGGTTGCGGGCACATCCCCAGTAGGGGGTGTGCAGGAGGCAGTTGATCGATGTTTCTCTCTCATCAATGTTTCTAACTCTCGAGCCCTCTCCCTTCCTCTCTGTAAAAAAATCAATAAAATATATATTTTTTAAAAAGTTATAGCTGCTGAATATCAATTTACCAAAACAGGCAAGGATGACTTTATCCTGGCAAAACTCAGAATACTGTTTTTTCAACATCCTAGAAGACAGCTTGGTGCACCACACTTTTCCATCTGCTTTGTTCTATTTCTTTATGCCCCAAGTGGAAATTAAACGGTTCAAATAACACCCAAAATTCATCAATCACGGTCAAGAGAAGTAGCATGATATGAATAACAGAGGTAGAACAATAGGTGGAACAGCCTTGGTAATGACCTTAGAGTGCATGTTGAGACAGAAAATCTATTCAACATGTACAGGAATCACATTAAATAATTCTATTCTCACTTACCTGCAGAGCTCTCAGTAAATACTGTTAATGTTTGTCCTCCAACACTTTGCAAGACAAATGGATGTTCTCTAGGAGCGCTGACTGAAGCTGGTTTTCCACCAATATCATGAATATTTGCAAGATCCTCATTCAAAGTAAATGACACCTAATAGACACATTAAGTAAAGCTTATTACAACAGACTTTTGTATTCAAAAGTACAGAAATTCTGATAAGTCAAATAATTTTTTAAATGTGAATTTCTTCTAGTCATTTAAGCATTTTTTAAACTTCATCTAAAATTTTAATACTTAAGTCATAAAAAAAGACTTCCCACTTGTCAGAATAATGGGGCTAATCTACCATTACAAATACAAATAGCTTTCACATGTTTTCTCTGGTCTATGGCTGAAGAAATTCTATTTCCAAAATAGGAATATAATGTTTACCCCTAAGTTCTTTGAGGTCAAGAGACCATACCTTGTTATATTTATATCCTTAAAATATCCACAGTGCCTGGCACAGAGAAGGAAAACAGTATTTGCTGAATGAGTGAATATTTAAAGTAAATTAAGAAAGCAATTGTACTTGGAGGGGGAAAAGTGAGCTACTTAGAAAGCTTAAACATTCCAATAAACAGAGGATACATTTCTTTTGTAGGTCTTAATAACTACTGTGATTACATGGTGCTGTTTTATTTTTGAATACTTTAATAAGTACAACTGAATATTGACAAGGATAATTTAATGTTGAGGGTTAGAAAAAAAAGACATAGTACACATTCTTTCAAAATGATTTTTACTACATACTAGATCTCACCAAAAGAATATCAAATATTACATCGGAGAGATTTATAAACAAAAAATACTGATCTCCCAACCACGGAGGAAGATTATGGAGTATTTATTAAATATCTCTCTGCTGTGTGCTAGGTAATGAAAATTATATCCTGGACTTAATGGGTCAAAATCTAAAGCCCTCAAAGATCCAAATCAAATGCCTCTGCCACACTGAAATAATTTTAAAATATTACTGAAATAATACTAACTTTTGTAAATACTGAGAGGGGATATTTTAGGTCAAAGTAGAAAAATGCTAAGAAGGAACAACTAGAAAGGAGCCCTCTCATTCACACACGAGTGGTGTTTATACTACTATGTGTTCCTGACCATTAGCTACTAGTTTGATGCGGAGTTTTCCAGCATACAAACACCACCCTCTCTTTGCTATTACTAATGCACAGTAAAATAATCTCATGTTTTAAATAAAGTTTAAACAGAAATAATCTTACCTCAGTCCTTCCTTGATTCCTTAAAGAGAAAAAAGGAAAATTTTTTAATTATTTAAATTTCATGTTTTTTTCTTCCAAATTTATGCTGAAAATTTAAAGAAATAACACTACTGCATATTTCCATAAACTGTTATATTACAGAGCTTAATATTTACCCATGACTCTCTTCAACTATCCTATCCGTAATTCTATAAGAAAAACAAGTCTCATTAACCCCATATGAGTATTTTATTAGAACTTTGTGTCACTTAACCTGCCCTAATAATATGTTATCCAAATAATGATCTGATTACAATTCTTATCTTTATTTCTGAGAATTTTTTAGCATTCAGCAGCATGTGAATATATGTTTAATACAGATATATGTTATTACTATTTATTTTGTCTAGCTGAAGATGTTTCATTTACCTAATAAAATCTTAAAGATCAAAATTAAATTTAACAATATTTTAAAATTACAAGCAATTTTCTACACTATAAAAACAATATATGGCCTGGCCTTTGTGGCTCAGTGGTTGAGCATCAAGCCATGCATGAAGAGATCAGATATTCGATTCTGGGTCAGGGCACATGCCCAGGTTGCAGGCTTGATCCCCAGTAGGGGGCATGCATGAGGCAGCCAATTGATGATTTTTCTCTCTCATTGATGTTTCTATCTCTCTCTTCCTCTCTTTCTATTAAAAATCAATAAAAACATTAAAAAAGAAAACATCAAACAATATATGCCCATACATAAACATACAGACAAGTCAAAAGGAAGTTTGAAAATAGCCATAATTCCACTAACATCTTGGTACAATAAATATCCTTCCAGACTATTTATGTGAATGACATGTTTTTAAATGTCTTTTTTACAAATCTGAAATCAATGTAGACTTTACATAAGAGCCTAATTTTAAAAAACATGTATTAAATTCCTACTATATGCAAAATCCTAATATATAAAAACCCAGGGGTTGTCATGTCCTAAACGACTGAACAGGAGGCTGCGTGGGGCGACCAGGCCGGCAGGGGGGGCAGTGAGGGACAACCAAATGACTGGGCCCTGGCTCCTGGCTGGGGCCGGCTGCTGAAGGGAGCTCTGGGCTCTGGCTGGGACGCTGTGGAACTGCAATGGGGGCGTGGCCGGCCTTCAAACTCAGGGCCCAGAGCTCCCTGTCACCACCAGGGCTCAGAATTCCCTCTGGCTGGGGCGAGGCGGCAGAAGGGAGGTCTGGGCCGGGCGGGACGGCTGAACTCTGGGTCTCCCGCCATCCAAGAGTGGCCGGCCTTCAAACCTGGGGCCCAGAGCTCCCTGCAGAAGGTGCTTCTGTTTGTTTAGTCCATTGGTTTTAAATCAGATTACACTCCCACAAACAGGGTAAGAGAAAACTGTTCAACGCGCCTTCGGCAAAACGCAAACTCTTGCTGAACTTGAGCGACCCCTTCCCGGCATAGCTGTCTTCGCGCTTTTCAGGGCACTTTTGAAGGAAGGAAAGGGATCTGGCGCCCCTATGGCTCTCCTGCGGGAACAGAGCTGGAAAAGCAAAGTTTCCCAAGGAGGTGGGAGCGCAATGGGGACTCTCCCAGCTGGGGGAGGGGCGCGCCCGACGCCCCCTACACTCCAGGGCTGGGGCAGGGCACACGGGGCGGGACATCAAGTGGTAAAGGTCCAGCAGACGCCCAGCCTATAGGCCGCCTGAGGAGGGGTGTCAGATGCATGAAGGAAAGGCTTAGCATCTCTGTCATCGCTTTGGTTTTCAGAATTCCCTGCTCCCCATCTGTTGGCTCCCTCCCTCTGAGGGCCACTGTCGTCCTCACATGGATGCAATTGGAATACTGTATCTAGAGAGGATTGCCCCAATGTACATATCCTTTTATCCAACGGTGAAAAAAATCCCAAAGAAGGAGACAGACTGCTGTCTGTTAGGCTTAAAAAAACCCAAAAGTGTCCAGCAAGGAGCTGAGACTTGGTTCTGTCCACGCGCCTCAGAGAGATTGGATGAGGAAATGGCCCGGCTTGACCCCGACTTTACCCACTTATGTTACTCTTGAAGGTGTCTTTGCCACAATGTGAATAAACTGCCACCTTTTGGAATAGGGGCTCATACGAAAGTCTGCATTCCCAACTTTTCTTGAAACAGATCTATGTTCTGCAGCTGTGGCCACTGTCCTGAGACCAGTCCTGAGACCAGGTCCTATCGCTGGGCACTGGAGTGAACCCCCCCGCCCCCCTCCCCCCCGTGCCCTTTTACATTCAGGGATTGAGCTGAACTCACTTTGGGGGAGGCCTGGCAAGGGTGACAGGTGTCACAGATGGCAGGATGGAGAATGGAGAGGCAGACACCCTGCTTGGTCCCTCCCTGGGTGGGGTCAGGCAGATGAAGGCCAGCCAGCCCACCCCACAATTGGGTGAGATAGCGTCCTCTGTGTCCACCTCTCATCCCATGGGCCTGGCCACTCCCCTCAGCTCTGGGCAGCCCTCTGTTCCACGACAGCATGCTCTGCCCTCATATGCTGCTCACCCTAAATGAGAAGGAAGAGAGCAGTTAGCCCACAGACAACTACACAGAAAGATAGGGCTCACGGCTGGTGAGCACAGTGGCGGTGGCAGGAGCCTCTCCTGCCTCCGTGGGAGCACTAAGGAGCAGCGAGCCAAGTGGTAAGGAGCAGCGAGCAGGAGGGCAGTAAGGAGCAAGGGGTCCTGGAATGGGAGAGGGATTTCCCCCTGGACTGCGAGAGGGTGCAGGCTAGGCTGAGGGACCTCCCCACCCCAGTGCACCAATTTTGTGCACTGGACCTCTAGTATTAAGTATAATGTCTCTGTCTTCAGCCAGAAGAAGATATAAAAGCTATTAACATTTAATTAAGAGAGCCACAATGTGCCAGGATCAGAGGAACTGAGTGAGGGATGAGGTCAACAGCATGGGAGCATTCCAAGCTAAGAGAATAATCCATCTGAACACTAGAAATGAGAAATTATCTAACACATTCTTCCGAACATCAATGCACAGGCTGCAGTCAAGTGGTAAAGAGCCTCTTAGGCCAGACTAAGGTGTCCAGAATCTTAAGACAGACTTTACTGGAGGACTTCTCAGAGTTTTTAATATATTAAAATGCAATGTTAATCTTCTTTTTGTTGGAGAAGTATCTAGAATACAGGTGCATTCTAGAAATTTTAAGATTTCACATACGAATATGAATTTCCAGCTTCTCTTAAGATTTGAAAGGTTTGGCAACAATATACCCCTAATTCAGCTCTCAGTAAATACACAGATAGGCAGGCACTGAATTCACTACAGTCCCTTCCCTATCACTCCAGAACCTGGCTTCTAGAAGCATTTAATTTAGCTACCTTTAAGAAAGAGGCACTGTAGGCAAAGCCAAGGCAAAGATGCAGAAGGTACAGTACTTGCATAATGTTTACTGAATTAACTTGAGGCTAAAACAAAAACCCAGGTAAAAAGTAATGAAAGCTTGAACTGGGTAATGGTAGAAAGCAAGGAGGGTCGCACGGGAGCCAACTAGAAAAAGTTTCCACTGGCTAAATTCTGGACAATTTGAACATCAGAATAAATGATAATAACAAACTGTAGCCCACTGAATAAAACCGGGATCCTTAATTTTATACTAAAATCCTATATAATACAAGCCCAGGACCAAAGGGTGGAACAACCAGAATGACCAGTCAACCAGTCGCTATGACGTGCACTGACCACCAGGGGACAGACTCTCAAAGCAGGAATTGTCCCCTGGTGGTCAGTGTGCTACCATAGGGGGAGCGCCACTCAGCTGACCAGGATGAGCGGATGTTCCTGATGCAAACCCTGGGCCAACAGACAGGAACCCCTCTTCAGCCACAAGATTCTCTTATAAGAACCTAGTGGCCCGGTGCACAAAATTTGTTCACGGGGGGGGGGGGGGTTCCCTCAGCCCAGCCTCCAATCGGGGACCCCTTGGGGGGATGTCCGACTGCCGGTTTAGGCCCGATCCCCATAGTATCGGTCCTAAATCAGCAGTCGGACATCCATCCCTCTCGCAATCTGGACTGCTGCCTCCTAACCGCTCACCTACCTGCCTGCCTGCCTGCCTGCCTGATCACCCCTAACTGCCTCTGCCTGCCTGCCTGATTGCCCCTAACCTCTCTGCTTGCCTGCCTGATCGCCTCTAACTGCCTCTGCCAGCCTACCTGATCACCCTTAACTGCCCTCCCCTGCCGGCCTGATCTCACCCCTAACTGCTCTCCCCTGCCGGCCTGATCTCACTCCTAACTGCTCTCCCCTGCCAGCCTGATCGCCCCTAACTGCCTCTGCCTACCTGATCACTGAGGTCCGGGGTGCAGGTGAATGGGATTCCTGGCTGGCAGACAGCTGACAGCAAGCTATCCAATGGCCGATTCTGCGAGGCATGGGGCTCCCTCCTACCTCCCGTCAGGTTCTGGTTTGAAGGCCGGCCACGCCCCCGATCACGCGAGACTGAGTTCCACTGCTCCCCGGCCAGCCGGGGCCCACAGCCCCCTCAGCAGTCAGTGCTGGGTCACCGTGGTGCCCGTGGGAGCCGGGGGGGGGGGGGATCGAGAGGTCAGCAGTTCAGCCCGCTCGCCAGTCCCCGCCCACCCAAGCCTGCTGCGTGCGCGCAGCCTGGCGTTCGGTTGTCCGTTTGGTCACTTTGAACATTACGGACCCTGGTCTTTATATATAGAGATTCTGGTGTTTACTTTTTCTTCAACTACTGTTGAGGAAACTGATTTGAATACAGCATTTCAAGTCACCTCTACTGAAGATCTTATTTTTAAGAGAACTGAAAGACTGGAATGAGAAAAACAAGGAACAGAGGTACTGGTCATGTACCCTAAGGAAGAGAGAGAAAAACACACACAAAATATTCTATCTGTATGGGGCTTTGGGTGACCCCTAGAGGGGTCAACAATGCCAGCTGATACAATCAAACTGGTACCACATGAAAGAACACACACACTTGTTAATATTAAGGGCACACACTTATTAATATATTAGATGCAACTATGTAAACCATCTGCTT